GCGAGTTGGGGGACAGCATTTTTCCTCCATCCTGGTCTTGAAGCATGTCTTAAAAGTCCTGTGATGATCCTCACAGCAAAGTCCACATTAACAACATTCGTAAAATTCAAAAAAGGTTGGGTTCTAGGGCCACACAGATATCCAAAGATCTAATTATCATGATTTTTCTCTAAGGTAGTGTTTAAAAGCAGGAAGATTTTAAGCATAAGCATAAGATTCATAAGACTTACAGCATAAGGGGTATTAGGTGGTATGGGGCATTGATGAAATTTCTATTACCTGTCACCTCTAGATTGCTGATTCAGAACCAGAATATGAGGATAAAGAAGGAAATTTGTTTCCATCAGAAGGCTCTTGTACAGTGAGTTTGGAGGTCTCAGTTTAGTTCATATTTGCTAGCTGCCTTTGAGCTAAGTCAGGAATCCCTGGGGCTCAGTGAGTTATTTCTGAGCTGTCTCACCGGAGACCCCTGGTGGTTAATAGCTGCTGTGCTAGAACTGAGCAGGTCTATAATGGCTGGATTGTCCCAGTAGAGCATGACTCATTAGCCAAATAGGGTACTTCTCTCTCTGAAATCGGTTCCAGGATAGTCCACTGTGGACTCTTATCTCACCTTAGACAGCGTTAGTGATTGCACGGCAGCATAAGAATTATGCGGACTGTATACCATACTTTTTTACAATAAAGACTATTATCACTTTCACAGTATCTTCTTATAAAGATATTCCTTTGCAGTATCTGAATTGGAGTCATACAGTGCACAAGTGTTTTTCCTCCCTCATCCTCCAACATCCAAATAGTACTTGTTGAGTGCTAGATAATGAACAGTAATAGTATAGAATTATGATGGTTAAAATACCTTTTTTTTTTTAAGAGAAAGGAAGGAAGGAGGAAAAGCCTGCAGGAATAAACTGACACTTTTCAGTACAGTTAATTTCTCTCAATACTGTATTTCGAAGGCATATTGAGGGAGGGGAGAGTATCAGATATCAGAGATCAGTTTGTAGTCTTTTCAGGTCTTTTAAAAAACTGCATGAAAATGGTATTAATTCACTGTAGACTAACATGGAATTTGTTTTGTTGCATGGCCTGGTTTGCGGTGGAATTCACAACAGAGAGTAAGTTCCAATCCTTTTTCCTTTATTTTTTTAAATACATTTGTCTTCTCTAATATGACCTGTCCGTGTTTTAGAGACTTTGGAGACAATTCTGAATTACATATATGAAATGTTTCCGTCTAGGTTTTCAGTATGTTTTTGGAGACTCTGGTGGATTTTATAATAATTCATAAGGACGACTTACAAGACTGGCTTTTTGTTCTTCTCACACAATTACTTAAGAAAATGGGGGCAGATTTACTTGGATCTGTGCAAGCAAAAGTTCAAAAGGCTCTAGATGTCACAAGGTAAGTTTTTAAGGACCAGACCACGTTTTTCCCCAGCTTTTGAGTTGTAACTGACATAAAACGTTCTATAAATTTGAAGTGTATAACATGATGGTTTAATACACGTGTGCATTGCTAAATGATTACCACGGTGTTAGTTGACACATTCTTCACCTCAGATAATTACCATTCTTTTGTTGTGCTCGTGGTAAGAACATGTAAGAGCTTATTCTTTTAGCCACTGTCAAGTGTATAATCCAGTCCTGTTAACTGGTAATCACCATCTGTACTTCAGATCCCCAGAGCTGCTGTGTGTTACGTATGCTTGTTCCCTTTGACCAGCATCTCCCCATGCTTCCCACCCCCGCATCCCCTGACAACCACCATTCTACTCTGTTTTTATGGATTTAGGGTTTTTTTGTTTTGTTTTTTATTTGTTTCTTATTGTTTGTTTGTTTGATTCCACGTATAAGTCAGATCACACAACATTTATCTTTCTCTGTCTGGCTTATTTCACTTAGCATAATGCCCTCAACGTCCATCCATGTTGTCCCAAATGGCAGCATTTTCTTCTTTTTTATGACTGAATAATATGCCATTATTTTTCTTTGTCCGTTCGTTCATCTGTTGACAGACACTTAGGTTGTTTTGTATCTTGACTATTGTAAATAATGCCACAGTGAACATGAGGTCAGAGGTCTCTTCAAGATAGTGGTTTCATCCCCTTTGTATTCATACCCGGAAGTCGAATTACTGGATTATATGATGTTTCTATTTTCAATTTTTAATTAATTTATGTCTTCAAGTTTCTTTATTGGGGGCGGGGGGGCTTGGCACAGAAGGAGAGAGAGAGAGAAGGAGAGAAAGAACCCCAAGCAGGCTCTGCACTGCCATGCATAACCCGACGTGGGGCTTGATGTCATGAACCGTGAAATCATGACCTGAGCCAAAATCAAGAGTTGGATACTTAACTGACTGAGCCACCCAGGCGCCCCTTTATTTTTAATTTTTTGAGGAACATCTATACTGTTTTTCATAGTGGCAGCACCAATTTACATTCCTGCCTACAGTGCACAAGGGTTTCCTTTTCTGCACATCCTCAACATTTATAATAACTAGGAGGTGTGAGGTGATAGCTCACCGTGGTTTTGATTTGCATTTCCCTCATGGTGATGTTGGGCACCTTTTCATGGATTTGCTTGACACTTGTTTGACATTTGTTGATGTCACGTTTGGGAATGTATCTGTTCACGTGGGCTAGACAATGTTGATGTTACAAGACTCTTCTAGTGTTTTTCTGGCATTCTCTTTTGTTTTTGTCAGCTGCTTGAATAAGTCCTCTCTTACACCATTTCCACATTCTCTTGTTAACAGATTTGTTGAAATGTCCCTGCTTTCCATGAGATGAAAAGTTGGCGTTATTTTTGTGAATGCTCAAGACAAATGTAAAAACAAGTATAAAACCTTGCAAATTGATCCTCTTATCTTTAAAAGACATTTTAGAGTATTTATGTACATCCTTCTGAAGACCTCAGTATTTTTAAAAAATGATTATTTTGAGAGAGAGCACGCATGTATGTATGCACACATATGTGAGTGGGGGAGGGGCAGAGAGCGAGGGAGACAGGGAATCCCAAGCATCCTCTACACTGTTAGCGCAGAGCCCTACGCAGGGCTCAGTCTCACAAACCGTGAGATTGTGACCTGAGCCGACGTTCAACCCACTGAGCCACCCAGGCACCCTAAGACCTCGGTATTTTTATTTATTTATTTTTAATTTACATCCAAGTTAGCTAGCATACAGTGCAATAATGTTTTCAGGAGTAGATTCCAGTGATTCATCCCCTGTGTGTAACACCCAGTGCTCATCCCCAGCAAGTGTCTTCCTTAACCCCTTACCCATTTAGCCCATCCCCCCACCCACAGCCCCTCCAGCAACCCTCAGTTTATTCTCTGTATTTAAGAGTCTCTTATGTTTCGCTCCCTCCCTGTTTTTATATTCTTTTTGCTTCCATTCCCTTATGTTCATCTGTTTTGTATCTTAAATTCTTCATATGAGTGAAGTCATAGGATATTTGTCTTTCTCTAACTTATTTCACTTAGCATAACACCCTCCAGTTCCATCCACGTAGTTGCAGATGGCAAGATTTCATTCTTTTTGATTGCCGAGTAATACTCCATTGTATGTATATACCACATCTTCTTTATCCATTCATCCACCGATGGACATTTGGGCTCTTTCCATACTTTGGCTATTGTTGATAGTGCTGCTATAAACATGGGGGTGCATGCGTCCCTTCTAAACAGCACACATGTATCCCTTGGATAAATGCCTAGTAGTGCAATTGCTGGGTCGTAGGGTAGTTCTATTTTTAATTTTGAGGAACCTCCATACTGTTTTCCAGAGTGGCTGCACCAGCTTGCATTCCCACCAACAATGCAAAAGAGATCCTCTTTCTCTGCATCCTCACCAACTTTTATTGTTGCCTGAGTTGTTAATGTTAGCCATTCTGACAGGTGTGAGGGGATATCTCATTGTGGTTTTGATGTGTATTTCCCTGATGGTGAGTGATGTTGAGCATTTTTTAATGTGTCGGTTGGCCATCCGGATGTCTTCTTTGGAGAAGTGTCTCTTCATGTCTTTTGCCCATTTCTTCACTGGATTATTTGTGTTTTGGGTGTTGAGTTGGATAATTTCTTTATAGATTTTGGATACTAACCCTTTATCTGATGTCGTTTGCAAATATCTTTTCCAATTCCATTGGTTGCCTTTTAGTTTGGCTGATTGTTTCCTTCACTGTGCAGAAACTTTTTATCTGGATGAGGTCCCAATAGTTCAAGACCTCAGTATTTTTAATACTTCCATCTTCTTACAAGTCACACTAGAAATCTTGCTAACCACATATGATGTAGGGCTCCCACTCGCCCAGGTACAATCTCTGTTAGCATTCACTGGCTCAGAGGTTGATAACGCATAGCAGTTGTGACCTGTTACAAGGAAAGAAAGAAGAGCTGTGGAGATTCAGAGACATGTGAAAAACTGACTGTGTGCTGTCATTTTTCAGAAACCTCTTATCTACTGTGTCTGCAGTTGTAGGTTCGCAACATACGAGTATTAGAAATTAAATAGCCTCAGAAGACACCTCGCTGTAATGACTCAGTTGCCATTTGGTGGAACATAGAGGGTTATAGGTCAGATCAGTGAATTTTTAAAAGAATAAGCCAATGACTCCAGATCAACTATCCTCAGTAGAGTAACTTTTATATGACTCAGTTACTACACACTGGAATATTACTATATATCATAGAATGTCCAAAACAGAAGGACCCACCTTCATTTTATTAATGAGGAAACAGACTTTACTCGACTTGCCCGGGTCACAGTGCGTGTTAGTGGCCATCTGGGAACTGGAATCCAGGACTGCTGGTTATTACACAGCTGTGTGTTCCCCTTACTGCAGACTGGTCTGTGGATGTGCGACTTTCTCTCCTGAAGGAGAATGTGGATAGTATTTGCACTTTTTCTTTCCTCTCTGGCTCCCTCCACTAACAGTAGCACATGTCACCCTGCCATCATCCCCCATGTATGTGTCTGTTAGTTGTTTGTGACTGCAAAACATGCATTTGTTCCTCTGTGCTCTGATGCCAACTGTTTTCTTTTGGTTCCTGACCCTGTAGATCTGTATAATTTGTGCTGCTATAGAATTTTATTATCCAAAGAGCTCTCCCTTGGTATTCAGTGAGCTCAGTATAATATACTATATTTACAATAAGCTTTTCAAATGCCGTCCCTCCTTTGGATGAGCGAGTTTAGTGGAATTAAGGAACATTCCTGCGTGCCGGTGTATTACTGGATTTGTAAAGGTTCAGCCAGGGATTGACTGGAAGGGCGAGGCGGGTCCAGCTGATAGTAACTGAGTGAAGTAGACAGGAGGGACGGTGATGCTGTGGGCTAGGGAACTTCCGTAGAGAGAGGTGGCCATGTTGGCATGTGGGCCCAGTGGTCCCAGACTTCCCAAGAAAGGTCAGAAATGTGGAATAAGGCAACACATTTGAGCTTTATTTTTAAATGACACTCTGAAAGCCAGATAAAACATTTGTGTATCAGACTTGGCCTAAAGGTCTCTTCCTTCATATAGGTGAATTTGTGAAGGGCAAAAACTTTCAGATCTTTAGGGATGGCAGGAATATTAAGATTTTACTCCTAAACTTTGGTGATTAAGGAAAACCCTCTGGTTATTTTCCTGGATGCCCCTTTCCTTTAAGAATCCTCTCCTGGGTAGATTCGACCCAAATCTCTAGAGCACGTTCATTATTCAGTTTTCTCAGCAGCTGAGATGCCTAGCTATTTATGCATATTTAAGACCCATCCGTGAGTATTGGCGGGGAGGGGAGGGGAGGGCCTTTGTAATGGCTGAGGGGGGTTCCTAAGATAACAGGTCTGATTGCGAGTCTGCCTACTTCCTTTCCTTTGGCTGTGCCTGGCCACAGACACATTACCAGGTTAAACACGCCAGCTTATACTGAAATGGATTCTCCGTTCTCCCCTTGCTGCAGAAGGAGACAGAAGTTTTGTGTGTGGTTTGTCAAGCTCGTTTCTCTAATTTATAGCTGGTGTGAGTCACTTAAGTCATGTATGCTAAAGCGTACTTTGCTTGCAGAAGTGGTCCTCCTGGCTTCCTGGGTACAAATACATGTGCTATTGGGTCACGTTTACTTTTTATTAGTAATTATAACAGTAGTAATATTAGTACCCAGGATGTGCTCTGTGCTTTGCATTTTCTTTACATTATGTCATTAAAATTTCAAATTCAGGGGCGCCTGGGTGGCTCAGTCGGTTAAGCGTCCGACTTCAGCTCAGGTCACGATCTCGCGGTCCGTGAGTTCGAGCCCTGTCGTCCAGGCTCGGGCTACCTGGCTTAAGCCTGGAAGACCTCTGGCCGACTTTGTTGTCTCCTCTCTCTGCCCCTCCCTGTTCATGCTCTGTCTCTGTCTCAAAAATAAAAATAAACATTAAAAAAAAAAATGTGGGAACCTGGTGGCCTGATCTGGTAGATGCGATCAGACTTCAGAGGTCGTTCGATCTCTCCGGATTCGCTGGTCGATTCCGAAGCCCCAGCGTCGTAAGCTCTGGGCTGATGTTGCCAGAGCCGGAGCCTGTTTCGATTCTGTGTCTCCCTCTCTCTGCCCCTCCCCCGTTCATGCTCTGTCTCTCCCTGTCCCAAAAATAAATAAACATTGAAAAAAAAAAAATTAAAAAAAAAAAAAAAAAAGTAAAATTTCAAATTCATCCTGTGACTTCACAGATCTGAACCTGCTTCCCCGTTCTTGTTACTATACTTCTGTAGATTGGGAAGAGTCCCTTAGAGAGGCCAAAGGAAACAATGCCGTCACTCAGCCTCAGTTGTAATAGATGTTTGCATTGCACCATCTTTCCTATTAGTGTGGAAAATACGTCTACGTCTTCCTACATGGACACGATTATGCACTTTTAAACTAATGCTGGTAATTGCAGCATTTTAAGGGAAGGAGCATGGACTTTGGCTAGCCAAGAGTCCTCGGGGTTACTCAGATGTATCAAAGATGTGAAATGGCTGCAAGAAATGAGATCAGGAACAGGTGAGAAGCGGAGGGCCCTGGTTTCTGCATATGTGTTGTAGCTGGATGGGGGATTTCCTTGCTGGGTCTCCCATATTCTTTGTGGTCACCCTACAAAATAGAGACCAGAAGCAGTTGCCCAGTAGGACCAAGGAGGACAGCATGGTTAGCTTAAGCAAGGGCAGCTGTAGGCAGCCTCGTCAGGATGTAAATTAAGATTTCGGAATTGGAAGTTTTTCTCATGAAGCAGTTTCAGAAAGGTACCTGGAAAGAAGATGAGCACATTCTAGAAGGCAGGTAGGAATCTCTTTTATCATTTGGTCTTCATTTCTAAAATAGCATACATAACTCTAAGTGTCGTGTGTGTTTTGGGACTTATAGCAAGATTTCCCATTTTCTGGGGCACCTGGGTGGCTGAGTTGGTTGAGCGTCCGACTTCGGTTCAGGTCATGATCTTGCACTTCATGAGTTGAGCCCCGCATCAGGCTTTGTGCTATCAGCACAGAGCCTGCTTTAGATTCTCTGCCCCACTCTCTCTCTGCCCCCCCCCCCAAAATAAATAAAACATTTTTTTAAAAATAATAAGTAAAAAAAAAGATTTTCCATCTTCTTAATTTTATATGTAATGTCTATTACTCTAGTATTTATATAAAATGGAAAGTACAATTACCTGTGTAGAGGCTTGCTTCCGTCTCCGTCAGACTTATCTCTAGTGGTATATTTCTGTTTCTGAGATGGTTTTGCATTATTTTTTGTAATGTATCTTTCCTTAAAATGAGCACTTTCTTTCTTCTCTTAAACCTAGGGACTCCTTTCCATTTGACCAACAGTTTAACATTTTGATGAGATTTATTGTGGATCAAACTCAAACTCCTAACCTCAAGGTTGGTGACTATTTGTCATTACAATTCAACCTCTAGAAGTCAAATTTGCTTAAAATGTCCTTTTTTGTACATGACTCGTATTTGGCTGTTCTGAATAAGTCTGCTGTGAGCATTCTTACACAACTGTTTGAGGCCATGTTTCCATTTTTCTTGTTTAAGTACCTAGGAGAAGAGTCACTGGTTCGTTGGGTGGGTCGTGTTTAATGTTATTTTAAACTGTTCAAATGGTTGTACCGTATTATATTCCTACCAGCAATATAATGGCAGGCCTAGTAGTTCCACATCCTCACCAACATTTGAGTATTTTTGCTATTTTCCACCGTATTTAAACTAGAAAATTCTGGTGTGTTGATATAAGGTATCTTACTGAAATGTTTTCCATATTAACGTTCTAACACATGAAAATTAGTTGTCACGTATTTTGGAAAATCATAACTATAAGACTGAATTTGAGGGAGGGTATTATTAATTTCAGTTAGGTCGTGTACGTCATCTCTTCTTTATTCATTAGCTTTTGTTGGGGTTTTAGGATAGCTGCAATCAATAACCGCCCTCTTCTCCTAAGGTCAAAACCAATTGAGGCATCAGTGGAGAAGTTAAGGTAGAATATCAGCGTGATTGCTAAAAATGCTACCTTGCAAGACGTGGCCTAGGATGCCCAAAAAACAATACTAAGTGCTTCCTGGTCAAGCAGCAGAGTCCGTAATCCTGTGGCCTGCCCATGGGGGCTCATGCCCTGCAGGTGTCTTGCTGTGTATGTGAGGAGGCAGAGCAGGCCTTCTCCACAGGCACAGTGATCTAGAACTGAAGAAGGTTGATCTGTATGCCAGTCTTCCTGTTCCCAAACTTAACCTGTCAGCCATTTCATGCTTTTGTCCCTGATGGACGTGGCTCTATGTGAAAACACAGATCCAGGAGAAAAGAGGGGTCCCCTCAATTGTATTTACTTTTCTCTGATCAGAATTCTATTCAGAGATTCATAAGTGTACCTAATGAGTATAATTGTTGGATCTTTCAGGTCAAAGTTGCAATCCTGAAGTACATCGAGTCCCTCGCTAGGCAGATGGATCCAACGGATTTTGTAAACTCTAGTGAGACGAGGCTTGCAGTTTCTAGAATTATAACCTGGACGACAGAACCAAAGAGCTCAGACGTGAGAAAGGTATGTCCGCGAGAGCTCAAGTGCAGCTTTAAACACACCATTCTCAGGCATGTGTTAGGAAAAGAAATGTACTTGGGAACTTGCACACCATCCCACACACCTACATGGGATCCTTTATTACTCCTTTTCTGTGAAACCAAGACTTTGCTGTTGCCCCTTATCTTCTTTCTCCAGTTCCACCTAGTCCCAGTCTTCCAGCATCAAAATGAAAATCGGAAATCGTGTATGATTGGTTTGTGGTTTTCTTAGGCATCTATTTTATTCTTTTTAAGTGAGAAATCACTCATGGTTTAGTGTCTCTTCAGGCCGTCGGTTTTCCACATATCAGTTTTGTGACATGGACTTTGAGGACAGAATTGAAAATCTAAGGCTGCCTGGCCACAAGGTGCCTCATAGCAAAAGGTGGCTGAAAATCTGCTAAGAAATGAATTTCTGAATTTAAAAAGAGCAAACAATTTCAGATTACATACCATACTTGGAACACACTCTGACTTGGGGAGTGACATGGGGAGATAGAATTCAGATTTTGGATGCACCCTGATATCAAGGTGTTGTTTTGTTAGTTTATCAGCTGAAGAATATTGGCTACTTTTTTCAGAAATGACACATTGAGGAGCAGATAACATAGGAAAGAGCACAGAGTACTATTATTTCTCTTTCAAGATAGTACGCTGCATCAGGACCATTACAAAGATTAATTATTACATGTGAAACACTTTGTCAGTTCCTGACGAGTTGTAAGCACACCGCAAGCGTAAATTACTGTGTTTGTCTCTCTTACTCTCTGCCTGTCAATGTCGTTCTGTGCTTGAGCTTCCTACTGCTTGAGTTTGACACGTGGCCATTATTCTTTTTACTTTATGTATAAACTAGCCTTTATGAAGTACTCTTAAAAGCCAGCTTTCTCAGTTCTGCTTCCAGACTGGAGGTACATGATTTTGGTTATTTGTGTAAAATCACGAGCCTTGCATTTTTTCTTCTGTACCACACTCCTTCCATCCTTGGCCCTACCAGTGGAGTTGTTTGGCCTTAAGCAGAGTTGATAATGTGGACCACTTGGGTCCAGCAGGAAAAAAGGAAAGGAGAAATCCAAGCAATAGTTAGCAGGAGTGGTAAATTTCCAAATGCCAATAAACACTTAGCTCCTCTTCCATTGAAGTTCAAAGACAAGAACAGAAGAATTCTGTGAAAGGTTTCTTTAGAAGGGTTACGGATCATATAAGTCCTGTGTCCATTGTATAGTCATAAACTAAGTTGTCCAAGGACAAGGAACAAGGGCAAATCCTATTAAAGCACTCATTCAAAATTGTTATCAAAGAGGCATTTCACTGGCAACCTCTGATTTAGCCATTAAACCAGTTTGGGATTAGGGAGGTACAATAGGAGCTGGTTGAATGATTTGCTTGGTGTGTAAGTCACAAACAGATATTTCTGTTGTAGTTTTTAAAATCACAACAGTGGCCAAAATACAAAAGCCTTAAGGGTAGCTTTCTGTCTTTAGTCATAACATGTAAATGTGTGTGTGTGTATATGTGTGTGCCTTTTGTAATTGAATGTTACTTAAGTATTCCTTCCTGTAGGACTGAAACATTGTAGACTTACGTATCACTTTCTCTGGGCCTGGGCATTAAAAACTTGAACTACAATTTATTTTCCTGACTTTTCTAAGGAGGATGTCATAGGAACTTTCTTCCTTCAGTTATTTAGCCTTAGGCTCCCAAGGCTTGAGTCAGTTATGGTTAGGATATTAAACTTATTGCCAGAAATCATGTGGATTGTTTACTGTTTGATCTTCAACACTTAATGTCAGTCATTTTGGGTCACGCGGTGCTACTTCACAAAGCCTGGTCTCCATTGGTGTTCCACTCCTGTTGCCTGCCCTCACTTCTTCCCCTTCCCCGAGTCGAGGACTGCTCAGCACCTCGCCTTCAGACTGAGTTCAGATCCAGGTTCTGGGCCAGTAATCCTGATCTTCAGGAAATTTGGAAAGCTTTTTTATTACATCAGTAGTTCTCAGTCCTGGCTACGGTTAAAATCTGCCTCCATTCCTGGGCTCTACCCCAGGTAATTTGACCTAATTGGTATAGTGTAAAGTATGGACATTGTTTTGGGTCTCATTGGGATTCCCTCCACCATTGGCTGTTTTTTAACGCACAAGTTTGCGACCTGGTGTTTTAGACCATTACCCTGGAGTTGCACCTCAAGACATACAAGCTGCTGGTACAGTGTTGACCTGGTTGCGACCGATTCCCTTGGTCTGAGCCTTCATCTGCAGTATCTTCAGGCCTGGGGCTAGACTTGCTATTCCCCAGGGACTTCTCACCCTCCCTATTTTCTCTCGCCCTGTATCTCTGCACCTAGCACAATACCTGTGTGAGCAAAGTAAACATTTCATAAATAGTTTGAATGAATTAATGAATGATAAATGTCCAGAAAGAGGTGATCTCATTTTAAGTAGCATTTCGAAACCATAATGTCAGAGGCCCCCTGTTTTGACTTCTGTGTTCGTTTTCTGTTGTATACTGAAACACCACAAACTAAGTAGCTTGAAACTACACACTATTATGTTGTAATTCTTTTTTTTCTTTTTTAATGTTTTTATTTATTTTTGAGACGAGAGAGACAGAGCATGAGCAGGGAAGGAGCAGAGAGAGAGGGAGACACAGAATCCGAAGCAGGCTCCAGGCTCTGAGCTGTCAGCACAGAGCCTGACGTGGGGCTCGAACTCACAGACTCTGAGATCATGACCTGAGATGAAGTCGGACACTTAACCAACTGAGCCACCCAGGCGCCCCTGTGTTGTAATTCTTTGATTCAGGAATCTGGCACATGGTCTTTGGGTCCTCTGCTTAGGGTCTTAACAAACTGAAATCACGGTGTCGTCTGGGTCTTTGGTCTCATCTGAGGCCTAGTCTTTTCTTAATCACTGGTTCTTGGCCGAATTCCATTCCTTACAGGAGGGCCAAGGGGCCTGTTTTCTGGCTGTCAGTAGGGGACATTCTCAGCTCGTGGGCCACCTGCCAGCCCTGCCACACCTCCCTCTCCCCAGCTTGGTAATTTGTTTCTTCAAAGCCAGCAAGAGAATATTTGGGGAAAAAATTTCCCCAAACTTCCCAAATATGATGAAAAACCTTAGTCTACCCATCTAAGAAGCTCCATAAACTCCCAGTAGGATAAGAAAAGATCCCCAGATAGACACATCGTAATCAAACAATTGAGAGACAGAGACAAGTAGAGAATCCTGGAAGCAGCAAGAGGGAGGTAGCCTGGCATCCCCCAGAGACCCTCTGTAAGACACACAGCTGGTTTCGCCTCAGAAACCGTGGAGGACAGAGGCAATGGGATGGCATTCAGCGTGCTGACAGAAAAAACCTGCCAAGCAAATATTCTCTGTTCAGCAACACTATTCTTCCAAAGTGGAGGAGAAATTAAAATGAAGCCAGCACCTCCAACCTGGCTTAAGGGTTTAGGTCACACCCATCCAGGATAATCTCCCCTTTGATGACCTGAAAGTCAACTGACTGGGGAGGGACTTTTCATTACACCTGCAGAGTCCCTTCTGCCATAACAATTAGGGGAATGATGTTCCATCATTCACAAGTCTCACTCTAGGGGAGAGGATCGTACAGGGATTGTATGTGGGAGATGGGAGTCTCAGGGACGTCTTAAGTGTTTTGCCTACCAAGGCTTTATCTCACTTTCAGTGAGTTGGCAGGAATCTTCCACAGTTATTTGTTAATTCACTAACTCTTACTTAAATAGGGAGCTTTTTAATCTAACTATTTTTTTTTTTTAAGTTTTTTTTTTTTCAACGTTTATTTATTTTTGGGACAGAGAGAGACAGAGCATGAACGGGAGAGGGGCAGAGAGAGAGAGGGAGACTCAGAATCGGAAACAGGCTCCAGGCTCTGAGCCATCAGCCCAGAGCCTGACGCGGGGCTCGAACTCACGGACCGCGAGATCGTGACCTGGCTGAAGTCGGACGCTTAACCGACTGCGCCACCCAGGCGCCCCATTAATCTAACTATTTAAATTGTGGTGAGGGTCAAGATGCATCTCTGCATCCTGGGTACCCTCTAGGGTTTTGTTTTTTTTTAAGTTTATTTATTTTGAGGGAGAGAGAGTGCGCGAGTGGTGGAAGGGACACAGAGAGGGAGAGAGAGAATCCTCTGCACTATCGTTGCAGAGCCCAATGCAGGGCTCAGTTTGCATGAACGGTGAGATCCTGACCTGAGCTGAAATCAAGAGTCGGACACTTTACCCACTGAGCCACCCAGGTGCTTCTAGATTTTTTTTTTTTTTTTAATCATTAAAAATGTCAGTGGTTGGAGGGGCGCCTGGGTGGCTCAGTCGGTGAAGCGTCCTACTCTTGATTTTAGCTCAGGTCATGATCTTGCAGGTTCGTGGGTTTGAGGCCCGCGCCGGGCTGTGTACTGACAGCTTAGAGCCTGGAGCCTGCTTCGGATTCTGTGTCTCCGTCTCTCTCTGCCCCTCCCCTGCTCACACTCTGTCTCTTCCTCTCTCTCTCTCTCTCTCTCAAAAATAAATAAATGTGAAAAAAAGGTTTTTTTTAAATGTCTGTGACTCAAGATTGCTTGGCTTTATACACATCCAGCCTTGTTGTTTGATTAAAATAGGTGCATTAAAGCACGGTATTTGGATATGTGTTCTTTTGCCCCATAACTACTTACCCACAGACTGTACATTAGGGCACTGCAGATTAATCCTTCATGGAGACGGCATCACTTTTATTTAAATGCTCTTTTCTGATGTGCCATCCAATGGACATTATGTAAATACAGATGCTATTGTAAGTAATACAAACTGCCTTGCACAAGAATTTGGACCATATTTGAAAGCTTATCTAAATGAACCGAGCACCTAAATAAATTAAAATACTTAAAAATTGGGATGTGATATATATCACTCTGCTCTAAGATCTGAACTTGTCATTATCATTTTAAGGCTGTAAAAAAGTAAAACAGGAACTATTTTTATCT